GTCTTATAAAACAACTGGGTAGCAAGTCCTGAACTTCCTCTTTCACATGAGTGCCAAAGCTTGCTTTACCAATTTAACAAAACATACTTTAAAAAAGTTCTGGATTTCAATTTTAAATAATTAGTAATTGACTTCAAAAATTAGTAGAAAAGAAAATTCCATCTTCCCATATTCTAGTAGTTCTATGGATAATTTCAAAAACAATTGATATTCAAAATTTCATTTTTGTTTTTGTTTTAATAGGTAACTAGAGAAACGTGAATAAGATCTACATTTTCAGTTCCTAAGAAGTTTCCTATGTGGCTAAATCTTATCTTTTATTGTCCAAGGAAAAGTACTCCCCCAGACTCTAATGAGCAAAAAGCACAGCATTTCAACCTGTGTGAGCAAGAATAAACTGTTATCCAAGGGTTATGTAAACCAGCAGTAATCTCTCTCTATCCTTTACCTCAGTTCAAAATTCTGACCATACATGGCTGAGGATATAAAGCTCATTCAAACCACGGGGTCAAGCCGCTTTCTCTGTTAGGACTGCTCGTACCTCAGAAAAGGAGCCATTCCAAATGGGTCATGAAGGAAATGATCACATTGAAAGAAAACTATCTGCTCTTGATTCACGAATTTGTCTGGTGCTACCTCTAGGTTTCATCACGGTCTCTCAGAAATCTTTACACCACTAAATATATTACACTAACTCATTGTCAGTCAAGTATATGGACAACTGTGATAACCCCTGTCTCTAACCATGGAAAGCAAACCAACCCATTAATAGAAGGATTTGTGGTCATTTTGTGGTGTCGTACTGATGAATTAAAGAGAAGATACTAGAAAGAATCCATTTCTTGGCTTGAAATTCTTAACTATTACTATTTTTCTTTCCTAATCACCTTTTGAAACCAAGCCACTTCTCTTCAACATCTCATTTTCTTATCCCCATTACTGATTATCCCCTAGAACCTTCCTGTGAAATTCATGAGGGTGAGGGAGTGATAAGGATTCTAAACCAGTGATGAAAATGTCAATGCTTTTAATTTACTGGCAGGAAAGGTATAGTTGAACATATTAAAAGTGTTAAGGTATTAAGCCTCAATAAGTAACATGGATGATTCCTCTCAAATCATTAGTGACAATAAAAGCAAAAATAGACTATGCTTTTCTAGAAAAATTAACTGAAAGGCCTCAAAATTATTCCAAACAAAATTAAAAAAAATACTTTAACAAAATGCAACACAGCTTGTTTTTATACCATTGCATATTACAAGTCAGTATTAACATCCTTCTTAAAGTGCCTCAGTATCCATGCACAAAACTACTGGCTACCACCCTCAGGTAACGCTAAGATGGAAGGACAAGCAAAACCCACCAGGTAATTACCAGGTTCATCTTTCACGTGCCATTCTTATTCAAGGGCATGGCACAAGAAATGCTGCTCACATCCTGTGGTTCCACCAGTGATATTAATGAGGTGAACCAAGTACAGAAGAGGCAGCAAGAACAAGTGACTTTTAAGTTTCCGTGGGAAATTCCTGGCTTTTAGTGGTCTGTATTAAGCCACAGAAGCTATCCAAATAGTTACTTGCAAGGAGTTATTCATGAGGGTGAGGGAGGGATAAGGATTCTAAACCAGTGATGAAAATGTCAATGCTTTTAATTTACTGGCAGGAAAGGTATAGTTGAAGAAATCTAATAAAACAAAATTCCTAGCCAACAATATTTTAAGGGCAAAGAAGGGGGGAAAGGGGCAGTAACATTGACAAACTATTTATATGTATCAGAAACTATGCATAGGACTTTAATATGTGATTTAACTGCCCATTAACCAAATATCCAGAGACTTACAGTTTTTAACAACTACCGTATAAGACAATCTATAAGGCTAACATGAAAAGGTTGTAGCATATTAATATTTTGGCATGAACCAAATCTCCAGTGAGGTTTACAGCTTTTAAGAACTACAGTATAAGACAATCTATAAGGCTAACATGAAAAGGCTGTAGCATATTAATATTTTGGTATTATACATTCCTCTATCACTAAAGAGGTAGGTTTTAACCTCAATCATTCCTCTTTGCCATTACAAATAGAGGTGACAAATTAGAGTATCAAACAAACCACTGTATTTAATTTAAATGTCAAATATGAGATCCTAGCACTTGTACCAAGTCAGGCACTTTAATATGTTTATAAAATCATCACTATGAAAAGTAAAAGAAATGGATAATGTCCAGCATTTTGACTTATAGAAAACTTGCCCTGAATCTGCAACTTCTAAAGGCAAAATATTGTCGCCATTGCTAATCGCACTTGAAGCTTCCACAGTGTTTTGTTCCAAAGGGGAAGAAAAGTGAAATTAAATTTTGGATAAAGTTCATAAAGAAATGTAAAACATTTCTATTTTTCTTTTCAGTTGCCTCAAACAGAAACAGCTTCCTGCAATGGCTTAAGTCCATGTGTACATTATTGAATCATGACTGCCACAATGTAATTTTATAGGGTTATAATCACAACAGGCAACTTACATTCAGCAGTTTGTGTCACCTATAATACAATCTAAAATAGAGAGAGAAATATTTATCAAATTACCTGCTACTGCTGTTATTCTTCTTGGATTTGTTCCTCCGTTTTAAGGCATCTCTGTCCTTGTTATTGTATGGTAACATGGAGGCATAACCATGTTCAGCTTCTAGAAAACCGGAGGATCCAGTTAATGAATGGGCCCAGAATATTTAATACTCTCCTCTCTACAGTATTTCCTTTTTCCTTTATTTATCTTTAAAAGAATATTGTGGAAATAATTAAATGGAGTAAGGTGGAATTCTGAGAACAATGATTTAAAAAAAACACACACACATTGTGTGAATACCCTCAGTTCGGAGCAGGTGTAAGGATTCCAGCTGCTCATTGTTGAGAGACACAGTAGCGGCTAAGCTCACGCAGCCTGTGTTTCCCACTGGCAACGTCCAGCAGGTTGGTGCGGGTTAAGTGGGACCAGCCTCGGGCGAAGGTGCGGGATAAGCACCGTGAGCCGGTGACGGGGAGGCGCTGCTCCTCTGCCCGGGAGACTGGGGCGCCGGGCCCACCTGGGGGCCAGCCGGGGCCAGCCCGGGTGAGGTAAACCAGGGAGACTGGCGGAGGGGGCCCCGGCCACCCACTTGTGAGGGGCTGGGGACGAGGCGGCGTTCGGGACCCCGGCGGGCGGCAGCTCCTTCTTCACCTCATTCATTGCTTTGGGGCAGCGGCGGCCTCCCTTCGGACCGCGCGTGGGGATAGCCTGAGGGGTTGGGAGCGCTCGCGGTCTCCGCGCCTCCAACCACCCCCGGAGCGGCTGGGCGCCCGAACCTGAGGCCGGTCCCCCAGGACCCTCAGCCCCGGTTCGGGTAGACCCCTCCCCGTCCCCGTGCACCTCTCTCCCGCCGCTCCAGATAGTCGGCCGCCTCCAGCAGCATCTGGATGTTCATCCGAACCGCCGCCGCCATTCTGCACCGGGGCCGGAGCCACGGGACCAACCTCCACTGCCCACGGGTTCGCTGCCGCCGCCGGACCGCTGTGGACCCGGCTGTGGACACCGCGGAGCAGGGCTGAGGGAGCCTCTTTGGCAACCACGCTCGACAAGAGAGGGAGGGGGCCAGTGAGCTGAGCACCGCCGACACTGTGACAGAACCCGGAGATCAGCAGCCGCCACCGCCGCGGAGTGTTTATCCCCGACTCACCATCCCCCCGCCCCCAACCCCTTCTCTTGACAGACCAGCTTCGGCCACGTTCCTCATTGGGTCCCCCAAAAAATGCCCCGCCCCTGCACTTGTGCGATTGGGAGAGGGCTTCACTTCTCCACCCCCCAAAGTCCGCTCCTCTCGCTGGTTGGCCACACTTGACAAGGCCTGGGCTCCACCCCCTCTTTCCAATTGGTGACAGAATTCGCAACTCCGCCTCGTGCTCTTTCCTTGTTTCCCATTGGTTTTATACCAACAACCCTTTGCTTTGTTAGTATTGGTCAAGAGCTGTAGAAGGCAAGCACCTCGCCTGTCTCCCATTGGTGAAGCCTTCAGAAACCTCCCAGCTACGATGATGTCACCTTTCTCCAGGCCAGGCGAGCCCTAAGTGGCTGATGGTCAGCGGCCTGGCTGCTCCTCACCAGGTCTGGCATTGGCTGGGAGGGCCGGTCAGGCGCTGGGCGGCGCTGATTCACCCGCCGCTGCGGAGCTCGGCTCCACCCGGCCCCGCCTCGGACCTGTTGCCAAGACCTTTCCCCGGGGAAAACTTCCGGGGACCTGCCAGGCGTCCCTCGAATGGAAGGCAGGCACCTCGTGTCGTCGGGGCGCTCTAACCCTCTGGGGTTCCGGGCTTTGCGGAACTCCGGCTGGCAAGGGCCCAGCCGCGAATCCTCCCAAAGAGCTGTGCAGGCTAGTGGTCCGTGAGCCAGCAGCTCCGGCGGGCGCCACGTGGCTGCTGCTGCGGAGCTTAAGAAAAGCCTGGCTGATGTTAAATACCCGCCGCCTGGCGTTTTTTTTTTTTTGCCCTCAAGAAAGAGATGGAATCGGGCTGCTGTACAGCATTGAGCTCAGGCGCCTTTTCCGCCCCACCCCGGGAAGTGATGGAATAATTAATTACTTTCACGCCAGCGGGTTTTTAAAGCTCAGAGACTTCCTGAACCTACAGAATGGCACTGAACCCTAAGAGTCTTTGACTTAAATATCGTTTACGGCTTCCCCCTTCCTTTTAATTCTAGATGAAAGCATTCAAAAGAATACTAAGACGGCTGCAAATGGTGTGTTTCCGCGTGGGGGTGGTACCAATATAAATGCTTAATAGAATGTTACGTATACAGAACTAATAAGTTTAAAGATCGTTCCCTAAACCTATCAAAATTTTTTAAATGAAAGCTATCTGGCAAACCAAGCTGCAATGCCAATGTACTGACAGACATCTCCAATTTTAAAAGTAGAAATAAAGCTCTTGGTAGGTTGAGTCCCCAAAATCCAAATGAGTAAAGCATGAACATATTTCTTTTTTAAAAAGTTTATTATTGTCGCCAATATATAATAGCTTACTATGTGTAGGTATCGTACCTACATTATCTCTAATCTTCAATATAACCCCATGAGGTAGGTTGTGTTAATTACATTTTGCACCTGAGGAAACTGAGGCCCAGGGAGACTAAATGATTTTCCTTGTCATGCATTTAGCTGCAGACATGAAACAACCTAGGTCTGTCTCACCTGGAGCTCAAATTACCAATCCTCCTGTTGATAGTTGCATAAAGACAAGGTAGTTTAAACAGATTTCCAGACTGGGTCACAAAACACTTGACTCAAAACTCAAGTACTTAATATAATGATGGTATATTAATTTTTATATGAATATAACAAACATGTATTTTTAAATGGTTCACAAACCCACTAAAATTAAATCAACTCAGAGTAAATAGAATAAATGTAATTAATGTAATTAATCATGCCTGATAGATATATAGGCATATTCTGGTTTCGATGGCTAACTGGATCTAAAAACTGATTATTTACAAAAATACTAATGAAATACACATACTGAAGGTGAAGGTTTTCAAAGCACAATACAAAGTTGGAAATGAAGGTAGAAATATAAGTTTTTTTTTTCACAAGCTGTTTGGGAGGCACATCCCACACATACAATGTGAACACCTAATTACCACGTTTACGCACTACAAAAGGATCTAACAGTTTTTAAAGAGTATTTTTAACTTGCATGTTATTTGTAAAACAAACGTGAAAATCATAAACAAGTGCAATTCTACTAAAATACCCAAACTGATAATACTAAAAATACTTTGATTTCATTATCCTGACATTTTGGATTTTGTATATGTTTTCTCTTTGATTTTATTACGAATATTTAGCATATCTCTTTATTCTTACTCTTTATTTATTTTTTTTGAGACGCAGTTTCGCTGTTGTTACCCAGACTGGATGGAGTGCAATGGCAGGATCTCAGCTCACCGCAACCTCCGCCTCCTGGGTTCAAGCAATTCTCCTGCCTCAGCCTCCCGAGTAGCTGGGACTACAGGCATGCACCACCATGCCCAGCTAATTTTTTCTATTTTTTTTTGTTTTTTTTGTATTTTTAGTAGAGACGGGCTTTCACCTTGTTGACCAGGATGGTCTCGATCTCTTGACCTCGTGAGCCACCTGCCTTAGCCTCCCAAAGTGCTGGGATTATAGGCGTGAGCCACCGTGCAAGTGCAACTTCAATATCATGACCCTTCCTCTACAGTCACCCTGATCAAAATTCAGACATTTTTGTCTTAAAAAGGGGGGAAAAGGTTGAATTCCGAGCCAGAAACAGCAAATAATTTAAATGTCAACAAGTCCAGCTTACACTACAAACAAAAATACTACATTATGTAAAAATTAGAGAATCAGACTAAAGACTGGACCATGTTTGTTCCTTGGTAATGGATGAAATTACCAACTAGCCAGCAACACCAACTAGGACTTAGTATAATGAAGAACTTCAAAGAGTATTTGGTGCCATCTACTGGAAATGAAGTAGTAAGTCTAAAAGGTTTTGAGATTTGGAGTGTTCCTAGAAATTATTTTACACAAATGTATGGGATGACCAGTTAATTAGGAAAACCTGAAAGTATAAATTTTGAAGACAGAACTGAAAATCCTAAGATAATGAAGAAGTGGTGACTCTCAATACCTAGTGCCTCAAAGGCCTGAAATAAGCATTGACTAAAAGGCACAGCTCCAAAAATAGAAGTAGGGAATTCTAGAATGTTTTAACCTGAGTTTTATGACCAGAACTTTAAATAAAAAGCTATATGTAATAGCATACACATGGATGACAATGGTTTATATATTTGAGCATATATCAAGATAAACTAAGTGAGATATATACTTGAAAATGGGAAATTACAAAGACATAAAATATTAGACTTGTCAGATAATCTTCACTGCCAAGTAAACCTCTGCCCAGTCTCCTCTGGGGAGCTTATAATCCAGATGGCCAAAGGACACGGGAAAAAAAAATATATATATTTTGAGACGGACTCGCACTCTGTCACCCAGGCTGGAGTGCAGTGGTACAATCTCACTCACTGCAACCTTGGCCTCCCGGGTTCAAGTGATTCTCCTGCCTCAGCCTCCCAAGTAGCTGAGACTACAGGCACGTGCCACCATACCCGGTTAATTTTTTCTATTTTTAGGTAGAGATGAGGTTTCACCGTGTTAGGCAGGCTGGTCTTGATCTGCTGACCTTGTGGAGACCTCTTTGCCCATCTCGGCCTCCCAAAGTGCTGGGATTACAGGTGTGAGCCTCCACGCCCAGCCAATAGGACAGTATATTAAGAGGTAAATGCTAATGCTGAGCAAGCAGCAGGCTCATGGAGTTCTGCCAGAGATGTCACTTTAGAGAGCACCTCAGAGTGGCATGGAAGACAATTGTTGCATTATTATAATCCTTAAGTGCCTAAAAGGTTCTATCACTGCGGGAATTAAAACCCACCATTTATAACTGAGTTTGATACCTTCTAACTACTATGACATTAAAATAAATTTTGTCTTATAAGGTTTTGAGGAATTTTGTTCCTCGAAGTATATAAATCAGTATTTCAAGTTTCTGCCTCAACAGTATCATCTCTTTATTTGTGGCTACTTTAGACACACTAATATGGTATCTAACATCATACTAATTTTAAAAAGCTTTAAAAATGCTGCTTTGCAAAAATTAGTCACTCTACAAATCTCTGGTTTAGAAAATGAGGCAATGGCCTGGGGCCGTGGCTCATGCCTGCAATCTCAGCACTTTGGGAGGCTGAGATGGGAGGGCTGCTTGAGCTCAGGAGTTTGAGACCGGACTGGGCAACATAGTGAGACCTCACTCTACTAAAAAAATAAATTAGCTGAGTGTTGTGGTGTGGCCTATAGTCCCAGCTACTTGGGAGGCTGAGGCAGGAGAACTGTTTGAGCCCAAGAAGTTGAGGCTCCAGTGAGCTGTGATCATACCACTGTACTCCAGCCACAGAATGGAGTGGTTAAAAAAAAAAAAGAAACAAAAAAAAGGCAATGGCTAAACTGTCATATGTACATCACACAAAACACTATACAGCAGGGTTTATTTTATTTTGTTTTGTATTTTGAGATGGAGTTCCTCTCATGTTGCCCAGATTGGAATGCAATAGTGCAATCCTGGTTCACCGCAACATCCACCTCCCAGGTTCAAGCGATCCTCCTGCCTCAGCCTCCCAAGTAGCTGGGATTACAGGCACTCACCACCATACCCAGCTACATGTTCTATTTTTTTTTTTTTTTTGGTAGAGACGGGGTTTCACCACGTTGGCTAGGCTGCTCTTTAACTCCTGACCTCAGGTGATTCACCTGCCTTGGCCTCCCAAAGTGCTGGGTTACAGCCACTGTGCCTGGCCACTGCAGTAGGTTTTAAAAAGGTAGATTTACATATACAGGCAAGAAAAGATCCCCAAGGCACAGCATTGAGTAAATAAGTTGCAAAATGATCCTTACAGCATTTTCTTTTTAAAGGCCCAAACTATGTATTTTCCCCATTTCCTACTCTGTTACATACATACGGGCATGGACAAAAAATACAAAGCAAAGGATTAACAGTAAGAAGGGCAATAACATTCTGAGTACTGTTCAAAAGGTGTTTAGCTTTGTAATAATGTTTTAAGATTTTTACAAGAAAGACGCCTGCCACAAATGATATTTCCTAAAAGATAAAAACATAATACTTAACCTTTCTTTTATTGAGGCAAGGTAAGTGAACTACATACATCATAAATAAGATTTTCTTACTTTACAAGAAGGAAGAACTGAGATTCTGTTTTTTTGAATGCAAGTTAAATACAAGGTACAATACCTGGGTAACTAAAGGTAATCAGATATAAAATGAAAATGAAGGGACTTGGCTAGTGAAAAAAGGTTACAGAACTATATTCACGAATTCAAGACATTTAATTGAGCATTGTACTCTGTGCCAGCCACTGTGTGGTGCTGGGGCTACAGCAGCTAACCCGACAGATGCCCCACTTCTCTGAGCTCACTGTCTAATGGAAGAACCAGACAATAATAAATAAATATAGAGTATGTCAGACAGTGAAAAATGTGGTGAAGAAAGTAAAGGAGGGTTTGGAGAGTCACAAGGAGAAACTGGAACTCTCACATATTGTGGATAGGACTGTATAAGTGCAGCTGCTTTGAAAGACAGTTTGACAGTGCTTTAAGGTAAACATAGTTTCCATATGACCTAGCAATTCCACTCATAAGCATACTCCCAGGAGAACTGAAAACATGTTCATACAAAACTTGTATATATATGTTCTGGCACTATTACTTCTTTTTTTTTGAGATGGAGTCTCACTCTGTCACCCAGGCTGGAGTGCAGTGGTGTGATCTCTGCTCACTGCAACCTCTGCCTCCTGAGTTCAATCGATTCTCCTGCCTCAGCCTCCCAACTAACTGGGATTATAGGCACATGCCACCATGTCCAGCTAATTTTTGTATTTTTAGTAGAGATGAGGTTTCACCATGTTGGCCAGGCTGGTCTTGAACTCCTGACCTCAAGTGATCCACCCACCTCAGCCTCCCAAAGTGCTAGGATTATAGGCGTGAGCCACCACGCCCGGCTGTGGCACCATTATCTCTAATAGTAAAGAAGTAAAAACAACTCAAATGGTCATCAACTGATGAATTACAAACAGAAATGTGGTGTAACTATAGAATGGAATATTTGGAGACCAAAAAGAATGATGGATGTACTGACAGATGCTACAACACAGAAGAACTTTGAAAACATTATGCTAAATGAAAGGAGCCAGACACAAAAGGCTACATATTGTATGATTTCCATTTATATGAAATGTTCAGAATACATCTATAGAGACAGGAAGTACATTAGTGGTTTCTAGGGGTGGGGTGATTGAAGAGTGATTTTTAATGGATATGGGGTTTCTTTCTGGGGTTATGAAAACATTCCGGAATTAGGAATGATGGATGCATAACTCTGAATATACTAAAAAACACTAAATTTTAAACTTTAGAAGGGTAAATTTTATGGTATATAAATTTTATCTCAACTGAAAAAAAAAAATTTTTTTTTAAGAGTAAACAGGGATAGACAAGTAAGAAAGTTTGCTATTTTGGATAGGGTGGTCAGGAATGACCTTAGTTTGGAAAGAGAGCTGAACAATGTAAAAAAGCTACTCGTGCAAATCAAGGAGGTGGGGGAACATTCCAGAAGGAAGAAAGATCAAGTAAGAAGACTCTGGGAGTAGACACTTGCGTGTTTTGAAAGAACAGCAAGGAGTCCAGCCAGTGTAGCTCAGTGCAGTAAGCAAGGGAGTGAGGCTGTAGAAAACCAGGGTCTAGGTCATGTGGAGGCCCTGTAGACCATACTGAGGACTGAACTTTGTTCTAAATGATAAAAAAAAAAAATAACTGAAGCCAGGAGCAGTGTGATTAGACACACATTTAATTAATTAATTAATTAAGAGACAAAAATCTCGCTCTGCTGCCCAGCCTGGAATGCAGTGGTGAGATCTAGGCTCACTGCAGCCTCTGCCTCCTGAGTTCAAGCAATTCTCCTGCCTCAGCCTCTTGAGTAGCTGGGATTACAGGTGCATGCCACCACACCAAACTAATTTTTGAATTTTTAGTAGAGACCAGGTTTCACCATATTGGCCAGACTGGTCTCAAACTCCTGACCTCAAGTGATCCGCTGGCCTCAGCCTCACAAAGAGCTGGGATAACAGGCATGAGCCACTACACCCAGCCTTGATGCGCATTTTAAAAGGTTTACTTCTGATATTTGTGGAGAATAAACAGCAGCAAGAGTGAAAGGAGAGAGACTTGTTAGGAGGCTACTGCAGTAGTCCAGGCAAGAGAGATGGCTTAGGTTAGCACAGGTGGTTAAAAGCGGTCAAATTCAAAATGTACTCTGAGGTTAAAGCCAAAAGAATTTGCTAATGAATCAGATATAAGGCATAAAATAAAAAGTCCAAGATGACCTCAAGGACCATGGTCTGAGCAGAGTGAATGAAAGGGCCATTTACTGTGACAGGAAAGCCTCAAAGAAGACTGAGCAGAGTTAAGTTCAGTTCATCTTAAATTTGAGGTGCCTACTAATCTAGTTGCATATACATGACTGTAATTCAGTAAAATGGTCCGACTGGAAGTATAAATTTGAGAGCCATGGCAGAAGGTGTTTGAGCCACACAAATGGACTATTCACCAAAGCAGAGATTGGAGAGTCCAAGGACTGAGCCCTGGAGCACTTAATATTTAGACACTCAGAAAACTTGGCACAATTTACATCCCCTATGAGGGTGAGCCTGTTAGAGGAAGAATACAAGGATGCTGCACTTTGGTTATTCTTCCAGAATTAGATGATCTAATGAATAAAAGTTCCTTCAAACCAAGATTTTTGAGATCAAAGGTTTCTTTTCTCTATTTTCAAAGATTTACTCTTCTTCTGTTTCTTTTTTTTTTTTTTTTTTTTTTTTTTTGAGACGGAGTTTTTGCTCTTGTTACCCAGGCTGGAGTGCAATGGCGCAATCTCGGCTCACCGCAACCTCCGCCCCCTGGGTTCAGGCAATTCTCCTGCCTCAGCCTCCTGAGTAGCTGGGATTACAGGCACGCGCCACCATGCCCAGCTAATTTTTTGTAATTTTTAGTAGAGACGGGGTTTCACCATGTTGACCAGGATGGTCTCGATCTCTTGACCTCGTGATCCACCCGCCTCGGCCTCCCAAAGTGCTGGGATTACAGGCTTGAGCCACCGCGCCCGGCCCTCTTCTTCTGTTTCTTTAGTTTGCTCACAGACAGCAGATCTGTTGACCTACCAGATTCTCTCAGATCATTTATCTGTAATATATGTTGCTTTAAGGATTTCAAGTCAAATATCTAGCAACACACCAATAAAATGATAAGGTAATAATCTGGTTTGGGGTATGTTATTCTATCCTAGAAGATTCAGTTTCACTATTAAATAATGATTAGGTCTGCTTTTCTTAGGTATATATAAAAACAGAAACAGTCCTTGTCATGGATTCTTTGCAGATATACAGTGTTTTGGTGGGTAGAGGTATGGAAAACCATTTAGCTTAGCTGGCAAAAAGTCCAAGCAAAATAATCCAAATGCTTGCGGTAGTGACAATTGTGCAATGGGTACTTCAAAGTTGTACAACATAATTCATTATTTAAACACTGAAGACAGTGGGTAGTATAAACATCAAGAGTTTCTGCCTTTATGCTAAATAGCATTAGCTTTCTCATCTGGGAAATGGGAGACAATAGTACCTGCTCTACTTATCTCATTAAGTGAATCAAGGTGCTCTGCACCCTGTAGCATACAATGCAGTCATTATCATTATTTTCTTTACAGGGACTAACTTGTCAGGAAAGCTTTTAAAGAACTACAATAGATGGTCAAACTTCAGATAACTATTTTAAAACCTAGCTAAAGATTTGTAAAATCATGTACATCCAAGGATAACCATTACAGAATTGTTTAAAGTAGCAAAAGATTAGAAATAACTTAGAAATTACTTGAATGTCCATCAACAGGGGATTAAATTATGGTCCATCCTACAATGGACTATAAAACAGCCCTTAAAAATCTAGCAATAAGGCCAGGTGTGGTGGCTCATGCCTGTAATCCCAGCACTTTGGGAGGCTGAGGCAGGTGGATCACCTGAGGTCAGGAGTTTGAGACCAGCCTGGCTAACATGGTGAAACCCTGTCTGTACCAAAAATACAAAAATTAGCCAGGCATGGTGGTGTATGCCTGTAATTCCAGCTACTCAGGAGGCCGAAGCAAGAGAATTGCTTGAGTCCAGGAGAGAGAGGTTGTAGTAAGCTGAGATTGCACCACTGCCCTCCAGCCTGGGTGATAGCGACTCTGTGTCAAAAAGAGAGAGAAAAAAAGAAATTAAAAAACTAGAGATAATTTTACAAGTACAAGTAAGAAACCATCATAAGATGTTTAAGATGCATGTGAACAAAGACTAGGTGCAGAACAGTATGTAGAGTTTGCTTCTATCTTTAAAGATATATATATGATTGTGTATATGTGGAATATCTCTGAAAGGATATACAATTAATGCATCACTAGATACCCTTTGTATCATCTCAACTGTGTTCCTCGTTTGTAGTACTTAGAAAAATAAGTTAAAATCTAGCCACAAAGCCTCAACTACCAGCAAGGTCTACAACAGAATGGGTGGTTATTATATTCAATATAAAAAGTGTTCTTCAAATGAAAAAAAGAAAAACCTGCCAAAAGACAAATATTAATAGATCCAGATTAAGAATTGGCATGTCACAAAAGAAATATGGCTAGTACATTTAAAAAATATTCAGCCTCCCTAGAAATAAAACAAAATAAACAAATAGTACCAGTATTTTACCCATCAGGTAAGAAACTTTAAAACAAATTTTACACCTAATATTTGTGCATGTATCTGAAACAGGAATGCTCATACTTTACTGGATAGAGTTGGCTATTACCTTCTAGCCAGATATCAAACGTCTTAAAACTTGGATACACAGCCCTTTTAATCTCACTCAGCAATGCCACGTCTAAGTATGGAGCCTGAGGAAATAATGAAACATACAAAAATATGTATGTAATGGAAATATAGTCACAGTTTTAATTATAATGGCAAGTCATGGGAGGCAAGCCAATACTTACCAGTAAAACATTAGTTAATAAATTATGACCAAGTAGCTACTAAAAGCTAAGTTTCCAAAGAATATTTAAAAGTATTTTTTAAATGTCCACAGTACATGGGAGAAAAAAGGGTTAAAGAAAGAGCTGCATATATATTCTGATCTCATAGGTGGGGGTGAGAAATATACACCCAAAGAAGCCTGGAAAGAAATATACTGAAATGTTAAAATTGATTATTTCTGGGGGTAGATAACAGGTGATTTTTGGCTTTTCTTTTACTTTTTGGTTTCTCTCAGATCTTTTTTTGCATGTATTGCTTTTGTACTTGAGGGGAGAACAATAAATGGTATTTTTGGGAGGATGAAACACAGAAGATAGAAAAATCTATTATGCTTTTTCATTCTTCCCATTTTTAAACTACTAAGAATCAAGATACTTTATGTGTAAAAAAACAAAATGTCTAGGGAGATTCTTTAGTAATAAAACTATTTATCACATTTAAAAGGGTAGAAATACTGCTTTATTGGATAAACTTACTTCCAAATTACTTTCATGTTTTTAAAGAAGTCCTAATGAGCATTCAAGAAGAAAACATATACTGCTTCCACAGGAATAAGGGCAAATAAAATGGGGTTGATGTTTGCCACAAATGATATTTCCTAAAAGAAAAAAATGTAGTATTTAACCTTTCTTTTGTTGAAGCAAGGTAAGTGAACTACATACATCATAAATAAGATTTTCTTACTTTACAAGAAGGAAGAACTGAGATCCTGTTTTTTGAATGCAAGTTAAATACAAAACACAAAATCCACTCTCTGACCAAGATGAGGGGGAAAAAAATCATTCTTCAACATTTCAATTCTCATGCAATGAAATCCAAAGGTCTGTTGAATCCACCTTTCCGATTCATATACTGCCTATGATGAGAAGAGAAAATTCATTGTTTATTTTTTTTAATCCTATACTCCTCTTAGAAAAAAAGTAACATACTTCAGAGATTAAACCTATAAACCATCTTCCAAATAGCAAATTCTAAGGTAGATACTATTCAAGATAATTTAATGTATATTTAGAGATTATTTTACTTTCAAAATAAGCCAAAGACTTTCAGATTTCTTTAAACTCCAAATAGCGGTATGGAAGTTAATTTTGAAAAATTTGAGAAGATTCTACAGACTTAAAAAAAAGTCAATTGAAAAATTTTATTTATTTTAGATAACATGAGACATGTAATTTAGAAATAGAGAACAGTTCCAAAACAGGCACCCATTGAGCAAATTCAATTGCACACTGTAATGATTCTCCCCACAAGACCTTATTTGAAGGTAATTTTACAAAAGACTGTCCAAGATGATTCTCATACCTTAGCTTACAGCATTCTCAATCACGTGATTCATAATCTAAATTAACTGGACTATTAATCTTTTATCAGTGATAAAATTAGGAAGAAAGGCAATCTTTGAAAATATCTTGACTTTTTCATTCATTAAGAATTCAGGGCCAGGTGCAGTGGCTCATGCCTATAATCCCAGCACTTTGGGAGGCTGAGGCGGGTAGATCACGAGGTCAAGAGATCGAGACCATCCTGGTCAACAAGGTGAAACCCCGCCTCTACTAAAAATACAAAAATTAGCTGGGCATGGTGGTGCGCGCCTGTAGTCCCAGCTACTCAGGAGGCTGAGGCAGGAGAATTGCTTGAACCCAGGAGGCGGAGGTTGCGGTGAGCCGAGATTGTGCCATTGCACTCCAGTCTGGGTAACAACACGGAAACTCCGTCTCAAAAAAAAAAAAAAAAAGAATTCAGGGCGGGGCTTACACCTGTAACCTCAGCACTTTGGGAGGCTGAGGTGGGCTGATCACGTGAGGTCAGGAGTTCAAGACTAGCCTGACCAACATGGAGAAACCCTGTCTCTACTAAAAATACAAAATTAGCTGGGAGTGGTGGTGTGCACCTATAATTCCAGCAACTCAGGAGGCTGAGGCAGGAGAATCACTTGAACCTGGGAGGCAGAGGTTGCAGTGAGCTGAGATCACTCCCCTGGGCAACAAAAGTGAAAATCGTCTTAAAAAAAAAAAAAAAAAAAAAAAAGGCTAAAGCCCTTTTCGGCCTTAGCCCACCTGTACCCAGGTGAAAAATAAAAAATAAAAAATTCAGTGAGATTTCATGTATGGATTGGTTTGTTCCAAAACTGTGGTACAAATAAAATATGCCTACACTTAACAGAAGAATGTATTTACAGTTGAAATCCTTACATAATCAATCTAGTGCAGGAGGGATCTACTTTATAGCTATAATTATATTGAAATCAAAGCCCACAGACTTCAAATTATGCTTTTCTGAAGAAATTGTTATCTATAGTCCTAAAATATTTAAGCAAACTATCCTCTCTCTAACAGCTATTAGTTCACATGTAAATGGGAAAATAATTTTAACACACCAGAATATTAGCAATGATGGTAGTATTTCATTAAAACAAACAGTATGGAAAACTGCTACATTTCCTACAAACATGGTTATCCCATAATAAAGTTCTAAGTACAACACTGATTTATCAGTTCAAATATAATAATGGGGGCTATGCATACCTGTACTTCCTCTTCTGAGAGACATTTATGGCATAGGCATTTACAGAGCCATCTACCTTCTTACCCTGAAGAAAAACAATAAACAAAAAAACCCCAGGAAGGATACATTAAATCAGGATTACCTTAAATCAGGATTCCATTAAAGCAGGTGTGGTGGCAGTGGCATGTACCTGTAGTCTCAGCTACTTGGGGGAGGCTAAGGTGGGAGGATCGCTTGAACCCAGGAGTTTGAGGCTATAATGAGCTATGATCACATCACTGCACTCCAGCCTGGGCAACTGAGCATGATCCAGTCTCAAAAAAAAAAAGAAAGAAAGAAGGAGAAAGGAAGGAGGAGGAAGAAAGAGGGAAGTGGAGGAGAAAGGGGTGGAGGAGAAGGAGAAGTAGCAGCAGAAGTGGCAGCAGCAGCAGAAGAAGCTGAAGCAGAAGAAACAGAAGCAGAAGCAGCAGAAGCGTAAGAGAAGGAGAAGCAGCAGGAACAGAAGCAGCTGCAGCATAAGCAGCAGCAGAAAGGTGGAGGGGGAGGGGGAGGGGGAGGGGGAGGAGGAGGAGGGGTCCAGTGAGGGAGAATTTCCATATCCTACGAACTCCCAAGTGGGACAACTCTCTGCTCACACTTTTACAATTGTACATAAGCAATTCATATTCAAGCCAACAAACATTTACACTGTATACTATGTGCAAGCCATGCTGAGAAAGTAGGGTAGCAGATTCTAATCTTTTCTGGTCAAAGAATATTTTGAAACCAGATAAAAAGTATAGATATAATCTCAGAAAAATTCACATGCACACAAGATTTAACTTACAACTTTAGCTAATAATATTCTCAAATCTGGAATGGTTGCCATTCATCTAAATCTAATTTCTTATACGAGCCTTGCAATTTTTTGCTCATTTAAAAAATTATTATTTTTTAGACACAGGGTCTTGCTGTCACCAGGCTGGAGCACAGTGGCGTGATCATAACTCACTGCAGCCTCGAACTCCTGAACTCCAGTGATCCTCCTGCCTCAGCCTTCCAAGTAGCTGTGATTACAGGTAGATGCCACCAGACTGGGCTAATTTTTAATTTTTTTCTGTAAAGATGTGATCTCACTATGTTGTCCAGGCTGGTCTTGAATTCCTGGCCTCAAGCAACTCTCCTGCACTGGCTTCCCAAAGTGCTGGAATCTCACGTATGAGACCTTGTGCCCAGCCCAATTTTGATCTTTAAATAAGAATCAGAACAGAATAACAGACACAAATGCTAGGCTGTTATGTGTCACTCTGTCTTGACCTTTCTAAATGTAGCACCTGTCCTCTTTTTCACTAATTCATGTTCAGGTCTTCTGATCCAACCAAGTCAACTCAACATATCGACTTTCCCCCCATGTTGTTCCTCATGCCTGAACTGCCCTCCCTGCTTCCAACTTCAACTATCCAGTTATCCATTGTTCAAGGCCCAATTCAGACATTCCAGTTGCCACGAAGTACCCTTCTCTAACTCCTGAAAAATGTTAACTGTGCTTTCCTCACAGTACTCTCTATTTTCCACTCTGTATAATCATGATGTACATCACAAAGTTACTTTCCCTATGAGACTGCAAGCTTCTTGATGGAGGGATATCTCTAAGAGTCACCTTTGCATTCTCATATCCTAGGCCACTGCACTCCCAGGTATTCAGAAAATTGACTTAGATGAGTATCATCAGCTACTGTCATAACATACACAAGTGACCCCCACCCTCCTTCCTCTCCCATTACTACTTATGCAAGAGTAGCCTATCTGTGTAGTGTACTTAATTAGATATTGGTATCAAGGCAAAAACCGATTCTGACCCACAGAAGGCATACACAGAAGAATCATATATTTGAAGTGGAGCTAAAATAAATCTATTTGGTCTTACTTTTCTACTATTTTCATGTATTTTTTTGGGGGGGGGTGGAGGGTGAGTCCTGAACAAATTACTCAAGGTATATGATTTTGAACTCCCAATAACAGGAAGTAAGCATGACTTAGAAAGACTGGCCTTGCGGACAAAAAAATAAATGATGCTAACCTTTTTACAAAGTTTGATTCCTAAAGGCTTAGTGATTTCTAGAAACTATTTGCTGAGTTGCATATTATTAGCCTTATCTTCATTTATATACATGCTGGCATAGAAAATTATCCATTAATAAACATAATGAAACTTTGAAATTTCCTAGAAGAATGTTATTGAAGTAATTGCAGTTATAGCCATCATTTTCAATGGCAAAAACCGCAATTACTTGTGCACCAACCTAACAGACTGAAAGGGAAAAGCCAAGCACACTGCTGTGAGGCTGTAGTCCCAGCTACTTCGAAGGCTGAGGCAAGAGGATTCATTGAGCCAAGAAGTTTGAGTCCAGCCTGGGAAACATAAGAAGACTCTGTCTCTTCAAAAATAAAAAATAGGCCAGGCGCGGTGGCTCAAGCCTGTAATCCCAGCACTTTGGGAGGCCGAGGCAGGAGAATTGCCTGAACCCAGGAGGCGGAGGTTGCGGTGAGCTGAGATTGCGCCATTGCACTCCAGCCTGGGTAACAAAAGTGAAACTCCGTCTCAAAAAAATAAATAAATAAAATAAATAAAAATAAAAAATAAAATAGACTGAGGCAGGAGGATTTCTTGCAGCTATGAGTTCAAGACCAGCCTAGGCAGTATAGGAAGACCCTATCTCTGCAAAAAAAAAAATTATCTGGGTGTGGCAGCATGTGCCTACAGTCTCAGCTACTCCAAAGGCTAAGGTGGGGAGATTGCTTCAGCCCAGGAGGTCAGGCTGCAGTGAGCCATGATTAGACCACTGTACTCCAGCATGGGTGACAAAACAAGACCCTGTCTCTAAAATAATTAAAAGTAAGGCCAGGCACAGTGGCTCACGCCTGTAATCCTAGCAATTTGGGAGGCCAAAGTGGATGGATTACTTGAGGCCAGGGGTTCGAGACCAGCATGGGCAACATGGAGAAACCCCATCTCTACTGAAAATACAAAAATTACCCGGGCCTGGTGGCAGGTGCCTTTAATCCCAGACACTTGGGAGGCTGAGGCAAGAGAATCGCTTGAGCCTGGGAGGTGGAGGTAGCAGTGAGCCAAGATCGCACTGCTGCACTCCAGCCTGGGCAACATAGTGAAACTTCATCTAAAAAAATAAATAGAATAAAATAAAAAATAATTTAAAAAGGAAAATAAAACCAAATAGGAAAATAGGTGACTATCCTGGCATTTATGACTTCTCACCTAATTTTCCCTTTATAAGCAAACATATTAATCACTGACTACATTTAAGTGATGGGTGGCACCATCCTTACATCTGATGTCTAAGAACTTCAAACTTAATATCAAGCAACAGGAAAACGAGAAAATGAAGAAAATAATTCCATTTTCTTTGGGGAAAAAGCTCCCTCCCCATTCTTTAAAAACAATAAAACTGTAGTTGCTTTACTTTTGATGTATTTTTATTCATCCAACATATATATTAATAAATTTTCATTTATAAAATACTATTTGGAAAAATAAATAAGGATTTAGGATATACAAGGAAAAAAAAAGCTGACAAACTTCATTAAATTCCAAAACCGGGTTCACATAACCCTTTCAAAAACAAGAGCTTGTTCTTAATTTCTCACCTCAGAACAGTCATGCCTCAGTACTCCTAAGTTACACACTGTCATTTTAAAACGTGAGCCCTACACAGTCACATTAGTTAGAAACTCTTAAGCATTGGTGATTACCTCACTCCATTAACAATTCAATGGAATACAAGACTTGGAAAAGTGAAATTTTTAGATAATTTTTTCTCAAACATCTCTATTTCTATTTGCAAAACTAAATGGAAAAACTTAAAATTCCAGAAAAGAGATTTAAAAAAATATATTGTCTTTCTTTCCATACACCCTCCCTCTCTCCATCCCTCTCTTCATTTCCTCTCTCTATATCCACTTCTCTCTTCCCCCATCTCTCCCTATGCTCTCCCTCCTCTACATAATCCCTCCCTCTTTTTCCTCTTCCCTCATCTCTCTGCTATTATGAAGGCATTCACTCCCCTACCCATCCCACTTCTGAGCTGTAAGACATGTATGCAGCTGCCCAATGTCATCTCTATTTGGCAGCTGGATTTTGTTCTTCCATTTCCCAGCAGTTCCCCTTCCAGAAACTATTCTGGGTTAATTGTCTCACTCAGGCTCCCAGCCTGACACCTAAGAGGCATCACTAACTACTCATTCTCACTCCCCCCAGCTCCTGAATGCTTCTCAACTCAGTTCAGGCCTTCAACATCTTTCACTTGCACAAATCAGCAGTGCTCCCTGCCTCCAATCTAACCCACCTTATATCTGTCCTCCATGCTGCCCCCAGAGTCATTGTTCTAAAACACACATATAACCATATCACCCCCTAGTTTAAAAATCACTACTTCCACCGCTCAACACCTAAGGTATCAACTCTGAATCCCTTAGCATGGCTAAGGGGATCAAACACCCTCTGTGATTTGCCTACTACTGCTATTTCTAGCCTAAGTCACAAGCCCATCAGCACCCCTTTATCCATGGCTGAATTTGAGATTCCCAGAATATACTGTGCTCCTTTACACCTACATGGCATTTTCATGAGCTCTTCTCTCTATCTGAAATAATCTTCCTCCTCTTATTTGTCTGATCACTTCTACTTGCCCTTTAAGATCTAACTCAAACATTGTCCCTGGCAACCCCTCCCTGAATTCCCATGGCAGTTCATTGTTTTCTCCTCTGTATTCTCAAAGCCCTTCATACAGATAGTTATTGTCTAACAACCAAATAAAATTGTATAAATGGAAAAGAACATGGAAAGACAGGATAGTCATAACAGATTAATTCAAATGAGAATGTGTAATTGGTTGCACATTTTACTTACTTTTGTGGAGTCAAAGGAGGCAAACCCCATTAACTTCATCATTTCTATTTCTTCTTCTGTTTTGCCCTCTAAGTCTTCCTCTGCAAAAATAATTTTATGACCTCTTTATCATTTCATATATATAAATAAAAAGAGAGGTAGTAACATTGTCATTCCACCTCACTAGCAGAGAACACAAAACAATTAGCTGAAGATAAGTCTAATGAAAATTCCTCTTAAATTTGGATGCAATATGGTACCAAAAAAAAGTCTTCTTGAAGCCTTTAGGCAGGTTTACCTTTAAAAAAAAAAAATCTGGGTTTCATATTAAGGACTACCTTTTTTTTTTGGAGACAGAGTCTTGCTCTTGTCACCCAGGAGTGCAGTGGCGTGATCTTGGCCCACTGCAACCTCTGCCTCCTGTGTTCAAGTAATTCTCCTGCCTCAGCCTCCCCAGTAGCTGGGATTATAGGCACACACCACCACGCCTGGCTACTTTTTGCATTTTTAGTGGAGATGGGGTTTCACCATGTTGTTAGACTGGTCTCAAACTCCTGACCTCATCATCTGCCTGCCTCAGCCTTCATTACAGGCATGAACCACCTCGCCCAGCCAGGCCTACCTTTAACATCAGGCATGACACTATCTAGTTGTGAAGATACTTCCAAAATAGAATCGTCTTACGTTTTTAACTACCTTCTATATCAGGAGCACCATAGGCAACCAGCAACTTGCTAGGGTGCAATCAAAACAAAATCTCAGGCTGGGCGTGATGGCTCATGCCTATAATCCTAGCACTTTGGGAGGCTGTGGCAGGCCTGAGGTCACCTGAGGCCAGGAGTTGGAGACCAGCCTGGCCACCATCGTTGAGAACCTGTCTCTACTAAAAATACAAAAATTAGCCAGGTGTGGTGAGCGCCTGTAATCCCAGCTACCTGGAAGACTGAGGCACAAGAATTGCTTGAACCTGGGAAGTGGAGGTTGTAGTGAGCCAAGATCTCCCCATTGCACTCCAGTAGGGATGACAAGAATGAAACTCTATCTCAAAAAAGAAAACCAAAACCTCAAAATTATAGGCGATGTAACACTATAAAAGGCTTAACATTTAAATGTTCAAAGATTAAACTTTTATAATTTTATCATCACTGTACTTTTCCTATAGTTATATATCTAGTAACATTACCAGTAATCTGCCGTTCTTTGCTCTTTGTTTCTTTTGTTTCTTTCTTTTCCTCATCTCTTCTTTCTTTCAGTCGAGAAGGGGAAGGAGATGTGGATCTATGTCGTCTTGGAGATCTAAGGTAAGCAAAGATAGTTACAGACAGACAGACATACATTTCAACTTTGTATCAATCAGCACAGATATACATGAGCCAAGCTCCACAGAACCAAGAGTCATTCCCTATAGCAAAGTGAAGAAAAAGGTTCTGCTAAGGCCTTGATTGTTAACAAAAAAAAATTTTAATATAGTTTACTGCTTACTCATCAGTTGCTTTCAGTACAACTAAGGCTAGAAAGCTTTCTGGAAAGCAGAAAAATGTAAATTAAAAGTTTCTAACAACCACACACAAACACACAAAAAAGCTAACTTAAACAGCAATTGATGCTTATTAAGACTCAGAGCTGGATGGGGCTTGGTGGCTCACACTTGAAATCCCAGCACTTTGAAAAGCTGAGGATCGCTTGAGTCCAAGAGTTCAAAACCAGCCTGAGCAACACAGCAAGATCCTCTCTCAAAACAAAACACTCTGAGCCCATTTCCAACTTCTTCCAAGATCATCCATTCTTGATTGCATACTTGAATAAATCATTATCACCAAATAGTTAATTAAAAGAAACAAAAATATAAAATACTTATTTCTTCTTGCCCAGCACCATGCTCTGGTGTTATTTACTCCTCAAGACAACTCTGATGTAGGGTACTATTAACACCATTTAACCAAGGTGAATGTTAGCTTTAGAATAAGGTGGGATTAAGTTTCCTCCATTTCATGAAACCGTAAATCCCCTTATAAGCGATCAAAACAAAGTTAAGAGTAGAGACCAGTTTCTTAGGGACTTATGATAAATAAAGCTCTTGGCTTATTTTCTGCCCTTACCGGGAGCGTCTTCGGTGCGGGGATCGCGAGCGGCTCCTTCTCCGATCTCTTTCCCGAGACCTGGACCTTTCCCGGCGCCTGCGTTCTCTCTCCCGGGATGTGGACCGGGACCGCCTACGTTCTAATGCAAGCGCACACAAATTGCAGAACTGAAAATTACCTCAAATAGCTAGAGCTGCCTGTCCAGTAGAAACATAATGCAAACCATTACTAGTAGTCACATTAAAAAGGTCAAAAGAAACAGGTGGGATTAATTTGTTTTTAAACTCAGTATAGCCAAACTATTAAGATTTTAACATGTAAACAATATAAAAAGTTATTAACAAAATATTTTACATTCTTTTCCAGGGATATCCAGTGTGTTCCAGAGTTACAGCACTAGAACACACTGGATTATTGGAAAATCGAGGCTTCATTAGTTCAAAGTGATAAAAACTAATTAGGGGCACGGCGCGGAGGCTCATGCCTCTAATCCCAGCATTTTGGGAGGCCGAGAAGGGTGGATCATGTGAGGTCAGGAGTTCGAGACCAGCCTGGCCAATGTGGCGAAACCCTGTCTATACTAAAAATTCAAAAATGAGCCAGGCGTGGTGGCACGGGAGGGTAATTCCAGCTTCTCGGGACGCTGAAGCAGGAGAATCGCTTGAACCCAGAAAGTGGAGGTTTCAGAGAGCTGAGATCGCGCCACCACACTCCAGCCTGGGCGACGGAAAGAGACTCGGTCTCATTAAAAGAAATAAAAACTAATCAGGGGCAAAACCAAGGGTCTGAGTTGGATCTACTAACGGAAGTCCAGGGTTCTTTATGGGGCTGGGAGCCAGAAAATACTACGGAGTGAGCTTCCAGGACTCAAAATTCTTAATATCGATTTCCCTGTAATGACCTGGGCAGGAATCTAACATTTATTAAGTATTTAAGAGCCAGACAAAAATCACATACTGTATGTTATGGGATGTGACATTAATTCTCACATCAGTTTTTAAAAGTTGGCAATACTACCCTTAATGACTAATTCTGGGAATTCGATTCAGAAAGGCTGAGTGACTTGCCCACCGTCACTCAGAAATTCAGCAAAGGAACCGAGGTGTAATTCTAAACCCACCGGCCACAGTGTAATAAAAGTTATTGTATGATGGTGACAAAGAGTTACTGAAACTAATTCACAGGGGAAAAACAAAAGACAAAAAATTTCCTTCAAACCCGAGAGCGTGAGCTGAAGGGGGCAGGGCCAGGTCTACGTTCCTTCATCCACCCTTGGCTCTCCTCCTGGGTAAAAGGGCACGCCTCTCTGCCGCCCGGCTATCGAAAACAAAACAAAACAAGGGATAGGTTTCTGACAGAGCCCCACGTCCTCCGAAATGCTGTAAGACTCACCCCTCCGTGGAGAGCGGCTGCGACTGCGACCCATTTGGAGTCCCGCTCCGCGGAAACGACTTGCAGCAACTTCCGGGAGTGCCGGAAACCGAGCTTTTACCGCCGACCAGAAAACGTCGAAAAGAGTTGCTAGGGTTCCGATCTTCTTTGTTCACAGTGGCATTAAAACATAGGGTTTGGTGCTGTTAGAGAAATGCCTGGAAAATTCAGCCGTATACCCATCATCCTAACACAGTTTTTATTTTTTACCCCAATTTTGTCCACAAAATACAGCAAACCAGTTGTAAACATAGCATAGTCAAATAGCTTATGTTTTTCCACTTTTCCACATAACATTCTCTCATAAGGATTGAATATACCAAAGTTCACCGTCCATCTGCTTAATATTTTCTCATGCCTGCATTGAGAAGGCACCCAAAACCTTCTATGGGCTCTTGAAAGGAAAACTAAAGGCCCCAAATTCCATCCTACCCCACAAAGTACATCCCCGAAGTTGCATCTTTCCTCAGGGAAAACAACAACAAAAACTTTAGAATGTTCAAAACAAAAATTAGGAGAAAGACTGTCTTGCCCCAAAGTTGAACCGTATGTGGTAGAGCATAAATATGCTTACCAGAAAAGACTTGAACCTCTATTTCTTTTTATTTTATTAAGTTCCATGGTACATTTGCAGATTGTGCAGTTTTGTTACATAGGTAAACATGTGCCATGGTGGTTTGCTGCATCTATCAACCCATCACCTAGATATTAAGTCCTACATCTACTAAGCTATTCTTCCCAATGCTCTCCCTCCCCCCAACTCCTTCCCTACAGGCCCAAGTAGGTGTTGTTCCCCTCCCTGTGCCCAGAAGTTCTCATTGTTCAGCTCCCACTTACAAGTGTGAACATGCAGTATTTCGCTCTCTGTTTCTGCATTAGTTTGCTAAAGATAATGGCTTCCAGCTCCATCCATGTCCCTGCAAAGGGTATTATCTCATTCCTTTTTATGGCTGCATAGTATTCCATGGTGTATATGTACCCACATTTTTTTTTATTCCAGTCTATCATTGATGGGCATTTAAGTTGATTCCATGTCTTTGCTATTGTGAATAGTACTGCAATGAACATACCAGTGCATGTATCTTTGTAATAGAATGATTTATACTCCTTTGGGTATATAACCAATAATGGAATTGCTGGGTCAAACAGTGTTTCTGGTTCTAGGTCTTTGAGGAATCACCACATTGTCTTCCACAATGGTTGAACTAATTTACATTCCCACCAACAGTGTAAAAGTGTTCAACCTCTATTTCTAATCAAATCTATTTCTAATCAAATCAACTATTTTCAGTCAGCTGTCACCAGAATTACCAAGTCTAGTGACCTGGCTTTTAAAATACAAAGAGCTGGGAGCTGGAAAGGGACTCCATTAGGTTGGAAAAAATGTCCACCAGTCACATAAATTTTTAATTAGATTTATACATTCAGAGTGGCCTTTTTAATACTTGTTCCAACCCAAACTTCCAGGAAAGATCCAGCCATAACATCTAGGATTTCTACCACCAGCCCTGACCCCCAGACTCCTTTGGAATTACCCAGGCAAAGTGTGCACTAGGTGTAGAATGGGGAGGTTCAAGGCGGGTGCAGGCCCCGGGGAAGAAGATTTAGAGACATCATTGGAGAAACACACCACTAATGATAGCCAGGCATGGTGTTGCACACCTGTAATCCCAGCTACTTGGGAGGCTAAGGTAGGAGAATTGCTTGAACCCGGGAGGTGGAGGTTGCAGTGAGTTGAGATTGTGCCACTGTACTCCAGCCTGGGCAACAGAGTAGGATTCTGTCTCAAAAAAAGAAAAAAAGGAAAGAAAGAGAGAGAGAGAGAGAGAGAAATAGAAACACACTACTAATGATTGAAGAAACTGTGCACAGGGAAGACAGAAATTATGGGAAGCCTAAGGGGTATGTACTAGATGTGTAAGAGAGGAAGTACATGGTGGCCTCAGGTGGTGGCTGAAAACAGTTCTCTTTCTCTTTCTCCTTCTCCCCCCAGGGCTGGGGTCTCATCTGATGAAAACGCTTTTTAAGAAACTCTTCTGGGACTAAAAATGACTGGAAGGTATGCTGGGGATCAGTTGAATGCATACGATGCCCAGGATACTATACCACTGTGGCACTAGGATGAAAAGATGAGTAAGACATGGTCCCTGACCTGAAGCAGTTTGCACTCTAGCTGTGGAGGTGGACAGAGTAAAAAAAACTCTTCACTATAATGTGGTAAGATAAAATATGTGCAGTGTGTGCTATGGAGACATGAAAGAAGGCTATTCAGCTTGATTTGTCCAAGAGGGTTTCCTGGAATAATAATAATAGCTAATACATATTGTGCTAACTATATGCCAGGCACTGTTATAAAAATGTTTAGGTATACACACACACACACACACACACACACACACACACACACGATTAGTTGAGCTGTGAGACTCAAAAGAAAAAATTGTCCAGGTAAAGTGTAGAAGTAGCAGCAATAGCAAAGGTGCAGAGATGTGTCACACTATGACATATAAGCACTAAAACAAGTTTGATGCTCATCACTTTGAGTTCACCATGGTGGACCTTACTGAGTACCTGGGTTACAGTTATGAGAGGCCACTGGAGCATTTCAGGCTGGGAGTAACCTGACCAGATTTGCATTTTAGATGATTCATCTTGCTGCCAGATCTAAAGACCTGAGCCAAAAAGAACAGATGGAGGGAATGAGGGCTTGTACTAAAGCAATGATGGAAGAGAATGAGAAAGAACAGAATCAGGAGACATTTGAGGAATAGCATGGCAGGTCTTAGAGGCTGGTTAGATCCAGGCAGTGGGAAGAAAGAGAAGAAATGACTCCCAGGCAGGGCTAGCTTCACAGGCATGTGACCTGTGTAGTCACACAGGGTCTTGAGCTTAGAAGGGCTTAGTATTCAGCTGTTTCTTCTCTTGAAATTCCTACTAATCTTTGAACAAGAGGCTCTGAGTTTCCATTTGTCACTGGGTCTAATAAAAAGTATGCATTTCATAGTGATGCCTACCAAAGTGAGAACGTCACAGTTTGTCAATTCACTACACAACTGAGACACGATGGTGAGTCCATGTGGGAGACAGTGGAGAAGGCAGTGAAAGGGGATCCCTTTTTTACGAGAGCCCATCTGTCAGTGATTAGTTTGGACCCTTCCCTACCCCTAGATCCCTGCTTCCCATATCCATTCAGAGGAATTCTCTTTGCATACACGTTCGCTCCACAGCATGAGAACCTAGTTACACTTCTGCTTTTGGTGAGAGGGAGAACATGAATTTCATTTTGGAAGATTATTTAGTGTGAGAGACTTGATGAACATCCAGATAGATGTATTTTTGGCAGGCATCTGACCATCTGCAGACTGAGTCTGATAATTAGGGGAGCAATCAGAGCTAAAGATAGAGATGGGGGAGTGATGAATCACAGGAGTCCATGAAATTGTCCCAGTGAGAAAAGTGTGCTTGGTGAGCCAAGGGTTGCCCCCATGTGGGATTAAACAGACCAAGAAAGGCCCACAAAGGAAGCAAGATGCAATTGTCAGGTAGAAAAACAAGAGTACAGAACAATGTGCCAGAAGTCAGAGGGGTGGAGTTTTGGGAAAGAATGAGAATGGTCAGTGTAGCAAGCTGAATAATGGCCACCCAAAGATACCTGGTCCTTTCCTCTGGAACCTGTGAATATTACCTTTATGGGAAAATGTTTACACATGTGATTAAGAATATTGAGATAGGGAGATTATCCTGGATTATTATGGTAGACACTAAATGCCATCACTAATGTCCTTATAAGGGACAGGCAGAGGGATATTTAATACCTACATGAGGAGGAGGCAATGTAACCATAGAAGCAAAGATTGGGTGGTGCAGCCACAAGCCAAAAATGCTGGCAGATTCTTCTCTAGAAACTGCAAAGGGAGCACACCCCTACTACACCTTGGTTTTGGCCCAGTAAAACTGGTTTTGGATGTCGGGCCTCCAGAATGGTAAGAGAATAAACTTCTGTTGTTTGAAGCTGTGGTAATTTGTTGCAGTAACCTCCGGAATCTAATACCATAAGCTATGTCAATTGCATCAGAGAATCCTTTAAAACAGGGGTCCCCAATTCCCAGGTCATGGACCATAGGTCTGTGGCCTGTTAGGAATGGGGCCACATGGCAGGAGGTAAGCAGCTGGCTAAACAGCATTATTGCCTGAGCTCTGTCTCCTGTCAGATCAGTGTGATTCTCATAGGAGCGTCAACCCTACTGCAAACTGCATGTGAGGGATCTAGATTTTGTGCTCCTTATGATAATCTCATACCTGATGATCTGAGGTGGACAGTTTAATCCCAAAACCATCCCCTGACTCCATCCCGTATAAAAATAGTCTCCCATGAAACTGGGCCCTGGTGCCAAAAAGGCTGGGGACTGCTGCTTTAAAACAAGAACTGATAGCCCGGCACGGTGGCTCACGCCTGTAATTCCAGCACTTTGGGAGGCTGAGGCGGGCAGATCACGAGGTCAGTAGATTGAGATCATCCTGGCCAACAAGGTGAAACCCCGTCTCTACTAAAAATACAAAAATTAGCTGAGCGTGGTGGCGTGCGCCTGTAATCCCAGCTACTCAGGAGGCTGAGGCAGGAGAATTACCTAAACCAGGGTGTTGGAGGTTGCGGTGAGCTGAGATCGTGCCATTGCACTCCAGCCTGGTGACAGAGCGAGACTCTGTCTCCAAATAAATAAATAAATAAATAAATAAATAAATAAATAAATAAATAAATACATAAATAAATAAAAAGATAGAACTAGGCTGGGCGCAGTGGCTCACGCCTGTAATCCCAGCACTTTGGGAGGCCGAGGCAGGCGGATCATGAGGTCAGGAGATTAAGACCATCTGGCTTAACACGTGAAACCCCATCTCTACTAAAAATACAAAAAATTAGCCAGGTGTGGTGGCATGTGCCTATAATCCCAGCTACTTGAGAGGCTGAGGCAGGAGAATTGCTTAAACCAGGGAGGCGGAGGTTGCAGTGAGCCAAGATTCCGCCACTGCACTCCATCCTGGAAAACAGAGTGAGACTCTGTCTCAAAAAAAAAAAAAAAAAAGAAAAAGAGAGAGAGAAGAAAGAAAGAGAAAAATGGAAAGAAAGAAAAGGAAAGAAAGAAAGAAAGGAAGGAAGGAAGGAAAGAGAGAAAAACTGAAAATTGTCCACTGGATTTAGCATCATAGAGGAGGCCATTGGTGAACTTGCTGAAAATTGTTTTGGGGGAGAGTAGGTTAAGACAAATTTCAAAGAATTACATTCATCTTTCCTACTCCCAAAATCCACACCAGCATGGGAAATTAGGAACGATGCTATCAGCAGACCAGAAGCTGAGGAATTTCCCAACCAGAAAAATCATACCTAAGACAAGGGCAGCTTAACACAGTGAA